AGACTAGAAATCATTGCCCATAAGAGGTGAGATGGGTCCTGCTCTGCCAAGTTAACTACAAAAATCAAAACACTGAAAAATAAACCCTAGGCTAGCTGTCGACTTTCTGACTCATTTTCAAAGCACTCTGTTGTTTTTTCATGTTTTATGCACGCCTAGACAGTTTTGAAAAATGCTAAACCTCTCTTGGAAGTGACAGTTTTTAAATCCAAATACAAAGTGCCACCTAGCGGTTATATATTTATAAAATGTGTCTATAAAAAAAATTTTCCAGCACAAGCCCTAGTATTTTATGTTTTTATAGACAAAGAAGCACACGTAGGTGAGAGAAGTTGTTGCTGAAACACTGGATCTCAAAAAGCGGGATGATGAATGGGGTGGCAGCACTTATGTAAGCTGAAGAAAATGAGAAACAAAATGTAGTTTATAGTCTGTTATGTTTCCTTTAATGATGAACTATCTGCAAATGCATGACAAGCTTTGAAGACCAAACATTCAAATAAAGTAAGTGATCTCATTGAAACTAGCTAACAATAGCATGTGCAGTGTCCTCTGGAGGAACAGGAGAAGAGATTTTGGGCAAGTCACTGGGCAAAGTTTTTCAGGGAAGTTTGGCTGTTTCCTTGGATATTCTGCGAATGACACATCAGCGAAATAAATGGTGCAAGTGAAGAGACTGAAAGGGATTGTTCTATGCAGGCTGCAGGAGTGTTCTTCCAGACATCACAGACTCAGGGATGAAGAACCTTTTTTCTTTTTGCCCTTGCTGGTTTTGTTGACAGGTGTTAATGGCTTAAACCCAGAGATCAACCCAGCCCCACACAGACACTCACTCACTCCCACCAGCAGGAGTGGGGAGAGAATTGGGAAGGTAAAAGCTGGAAAACTGTTGCATTGAGAAAATGACAATTTAATAGGAAAGGCAAAAACCAACTGTTCAGCACAAATCCAAAACACAGCCCTATATTAGCAACTGTGAAGAAAATTATCTCAGCTAGAATCAGCCCAGTAGCTAAATAAAAAGGTAAAGAATTAATACTGGACATGCAGAAAAAGTTGAAGAGCTAACACAGATCTAAGCTGGACTGACTTTTTATGTGTGTATATCAAAGTGAAAGAAAAAAACACTCAGTGCTTGAGAATTTATTGAAGCACAGTGCATAGAGACTAAGTCCAGTAATGAGCATAAAAGAAAAAATATGTACATTAAAGTATATCTGGGTACTTAGAATACTTAAAAAATAGTATAAATAAAATTATAGACATTGTATGAAATAAACATTGGAGCAATTAAAGTTTTACCTTAAAAGAGAGCTACAGAAATAAATAGAAAGTGAGCTATAGAAAGAATCATGTTACCAGAACTAAAATGTAAGACCTTATTTAAACCTAAAAGTATGAATATTTTTATCTGACCTGATCAATATCCTTCAGAGACAGTAGGAAGCAGGCCTATATATGTGAGTGATGGGTAAAATTTCCAGAAATTGAGACTTCAGTTAATGATTTTATGAGTGATGCACTGATGGAGGACAGTCCAGAAATCCTAATGCTGAATAAATAAATGGCTGGACAGAGAGTTGTAGAGAGTGAGTTGAGAGGAGAATGCTAAGTTTGACCAAGTTAGATATTCTATGTAGAGAAACAGAAACATTTACCACACTTTCACTTCCCAACGTGGTATTTAAAGCAGCATAGGCTGTGTTGTGGTCACTGGAAACAGGCAGTTGTTGGGACCAATTAACTTGGCCTAATTTCAGTTGTTTTAAGATGAAGTCAAATTAACTGTATCCCACCTCTGCATAAGGGTATGTTTTCCTAAGAGAAAAAGAAGATAAATGAATGCAATATTGTTAAAAATCTGTAGTAATTGGAAGAAGGGGACAATGAGGAAAGGTGTGATTTGAAAGTCCAGAAGATGCATTGCTGTTTAGTTGTAATTCCAGCAGTAATTACACCAGTAATTAATACCATTTCAGCAACCAGACTAGATTCAGATGCCCACTGTAGTCATTCAGTGACTAGAAATGCCTCCAGGACATTTCAGCACTTTTCTCAGATGTCCTGTACCATTATCAATAAGCCTGTAGATAATCATAAATTGAGGCATAATATTCTTGGAGTTCTGGTGACAGCCACTTCAGTTTCACTCACATAATTTGTGATGTACTTGAATGTAGTCAACATGCAGGAAATACATCTTTGGTGTCACTTCATCCATTTGATTTGAGGAATCTGAAACACTACCATTCTCTCCTGGGCCACAGATGCTTGTAAAGTCCTAAAATACTGAGGAAAAATAAAGGAAAAAACCATATACCAGAAACCATTAGTGACTTTTGATGTTTTGAACATCAAAAACTTGTGTAGTGAGTTCCTTCCAGCAAGCTTTGAGATTTGATACAAATTGTGTTGATTAATTTTGGTAGGACTAGGACTTGAACTTCAAATTTTCTATATAGTATTTCATGCAATTGAGGCTTGAATAAGATTTTCAAGTGTTTTCTGTGGATAACACAGCAATGGAGCTCTGAAGTCCATGTTGTTCAGCTGCCTGTTTGGCAAAACCTTGGCCCAGTCAATGTACAGTAGCATAGAAAAAATTTACAAAGTCCTCTGAGCTGTTTGCAGATTACTGTAACAAACCCACCATTTTACAGAGAGCGGATTAAACAAAAGGGAGAATTTGAGAAAGTCATCAGCTTCCATGGGTGTGCATGAAGAACTTCATGACTCATCTCAGCTCTCACTGTTAGTGGAAATGGGGTTGAAATAAAAATGTCTGAGGTCTTACAAGATGATAATTATTCTTGTGTACTCCAGGGCTTGTTTATGCTGGCTCAGGGAGTCCATCAATCAAAGCCAAAAGAGTTTCATTTTGTCATTGTAGTTCTGAGTGCTGGCAGATGAAGAAAATAGTTTCTTTGTCTTTCTGATTACTTGTATGTCATGTTATTGATGTTGGTTTTGGCTTAAAATCAACTGGGGAGGAAGCATGACCTGAATTGGTTCAGGTAAACATTCTTTTACTTTGCGTAAGCTCTGGTGCTGCATCATAGAGATTTGGACTTGATTTTGACCCAGAACTGCAGCTCAGGAAGGACATAAGCATGTTGAAATTCCATTTCAAAGGCTCTGAAGGTGACCAGCTCAGTGTAAACCTCTGAAATTGTGTACAGATGGCCAAGCCACCAGCAGAGATCTCTCAGGGATACTGTTGGTAATGCCAAGAGAGGCTGATGCAGCACACAGGGCAGTGGAGGATAAGTCATTACGTTATCTACTCATAGAGATAAACTTTGTCAAGTGTTCCCTTTAGTAATCCCTTATTTTTGGCATAATCTTTCTGAATATAGAACAGATGCTGCATTTAGAACTGTACAATCCCAAGAGGAGTGAAGAAAGACCCAATCCCCATAAGCAAGTGAATCCTCTGGAGAATTGCACTTCCTTGGGAAACTGCATAAAGAGGACCCTGTGGAATTGGTGATCAAATGCAGAATTTCCCCCACAATCCTCCTCTCATCTTCATTTATCATCTCCAGACCTTGTTCTTGTGCCACAAGGCTCCCTCACAGCTATCACACTTGGGTGGATGTTTCCAAAGGAAAGCAAGGCCCATGGGAACACTGTGGCTCTGGCTTTCCTTCATGCTGCAGCTAGGACATAACCCTGGGACAAATCCAGCTGCTGGTCCTGTTACACATTCTTTGGTTCCCGAGTTTACGTGTGCTTTGAAAGTAACTTAAACTTTGAAAGCAGGATGCTGCATATTTTAAGTCAACACAAGCTGTCCAAGTTTAACTGCACTAAAAAGTTTTTATACAAATATAGAACTTCTAAATATTCCTTTTCAAGTTTCATTTAACTCATGTGGCTTGATTTTGGGCATGATCTCACTAGCACAAAATAAATTAATAATGAATTGCTAATACTATAAATATTCTGAAGAATAATATGGCTGTGAGCAGTTCCCAATCCAAGTTTTATGTTCTCTACTGAAAGGAACAAACTGTCCCTTATACTGCTAATAATATTATGGAGATAACATCAGTGGGATAATAGTTTGATTTCTGTCTTTAACATTAATTACAAACTAAAATTTTTAATTGCCTTATCTGAAGACATAAAGGCCCAGAATTTTGCACGATTTCTTTTTTTTTAAATAAATTGAACTGGGATAATATGAGTAACATTTGCTTACTTCTTTGTCCTTGCAAGGCTTGTGTTAGCAACTTTCATAGCTGTTTGCTTAGCTTAGGAGATATGAATTATAAACAGACACTTCAAACAGGACATGATTGAGCCAAATGCCTGTAGCAGCTATAGGAAGATTTTCACTCATTCACAAATACAGCCTTTGAGACACATATGAACACGGGCAAAGCTGTGGCAAGTTACTTTCAAATTGTAAAAAGCATTTACTGTCACTATAAAATACATCTATGAAGGCACTCTGCCCTTCCTGAAACCAATACATAGAAGCATTATTTGTTCAAATAATGCTTTTTTTTCAGTTTGAGAGATTATTCTGTAAGTCCATGCCTATTGTTCCAAACACTATTCAATGAAAATGCATTCCTATCATATGTGGTGCTGACTCCAATGACCTACTTGCATATTTCTTTGTAATATTCAATCTGCTTGATAGAAAACTCCATTCTAACTATGATTAGGGAATTCTCAAAATTTCGCAATTCTTAATAATCCATATCAATGCCCAGGAGTTACTTTTTAATCTTTCTTACTTTTTTCTTAGCGTCCTCACATCACAATGGCATTGTTTTAATGAGACATTTTGCAAACAGTGTATTAACTGACCTCAAAATTGGCTGGTTAATCATTAGTCTCTTATGATTCCTTTAAAGTTTTTGTGAAAATATCATCTTTTCAGCTTTCCTGAAAGATCTAATATTTTTTGAACTGCTTGTCCAATCCTTTCACCAGGTCTTTATAAGGTAAACCCAGCTTTCAAGGCTTTATTGCTGGTTTTGTTTCAGGATGTGTTGGAGTTTGGGATAACATCACCTGCTGGCGTCCTGCAAAGATTGGAGAGACTGTCACTGTCCCTTGTCCAAAAGTATTCAGCCTTTTTTCTGGAAAACCAGGTATTTTGTTTTAAGGTGTATTCTTACTGGATTCTCTCTGGTATTCTGTAACATAATGTGCTAAAAATTGTTTATTTGAGGGTATAATTTTCTTTGTAAATTAAAAATTATTGTCAGAGCTGCTCAGGATACACCGTGAAAAGACCAAATTATCATCTTTGTGTTCTGTTTGGTGTTCTTTGAGTTAGATACTAAGTATATTTCTGATACAGTGACACGCACCAAAGCTGCTGACGTTGCTTGCTCTTTTTTGACCTATTTTGTTAATTATTAAGGCAGCTGAGCCTGACTGACATCTCTAACAGTTGCCATCAGGCCACATGTAGGTTGTTCCCTCTGTGTCTCAGGAGGGGAGCTCTGCCTTGCCATCATGAGAATAAAGAGCTCACATTAACAGATAATACCTAAAAATTACTGCTATTGCAATTTAAGGTAGTTATTATGAAACCTTTTATTCTGCTTTTTAATAGAACTTGAAAAGAGCTCATCAGTGTCTCAGACTGCTGAAACATTTCACGGGTTTAAGTCTCCCATCTTCTGCACCATCTTGTCAATACATCATATTTTGCCCTGGTTTTGAAAATAAATGATTTGAAAATAAATGATGCACAAAGAGTATTTCACATGTATCTCAAAATTCTGCTGGAAAAATCTTATTCCCATTGCTCAGGTGGGAAACCATTGTCATGAAGAGCTGGCGAAAGATGAAAAACTTACCACAGTTATGTAATTCTTTTTTGGGGGATTGGTTTCTCTGTGGAGGGCTTTAACAATATTACTTACAGGCTAATTTGGGGTATGACTGAAATACCTTTAGACTCAAAGCTGTTGAATAAGTCTTGTTCCAGTAAAAAATAGATAAGCAAAACAATCTACAGATGAGCAAAGGTTTTCATTCCTGGAACTGGTGAATCTTGATTAGTTTATCATGGATAGTCTAAACAATTTGTAAAGGGGAAAGTATGTGTAATCGTTGCTAAATGTTGTGAAATCTATAAAAGTTTTCAAATTACTCAAACAAAGATAATAAAGTGTTGTCATGAGACAAGGAAAACTAATAAATATCAAAAATTCAAAATCTGAATTAAATCACACTGCTTCTGTCTATTTGCCAAAAGCTAGAGCATGCACACTCTCTCTGGAGTTTATTTCACAAACTTTAGTTATATTACAACAACATTTTAATTTTACTATAAAACAACTGCAATAAATATTTAAGTCTGAAACCTTCACAGTGCATTACAACCCTATCTCACTTCACCATGGTGTCAGCAAGACTGAAATATTTCTTCATTTTATAGTTTGCTATCATTTTCCCTGATCCAGCTTTTGTTCCTAGCTACCTGTCTGCTTCCTGCTTGTGGAACTAACAGGGTTGATTTTTAGAGGTTCCTGTTCAATTAGGAGTGTTTTTTAGACCTTGTCTTTTTAAAATTTCAGAGAAGGAAGACAACAAACATTTTGCATGGTTGATTCAATTAAGAGCTAACAAAGCATCTTGGTACTTTCATAAGTTGATTATGCTCAGGCATATGTAATTTATTTAATTCATACACAGTACATTACAAATTAACTTCATTCTTACAGTGGAAAATTATGAAAATACCTTCAAACAAGAAATTTCACTCTTTTTATTTAGCCAGATTTGTGAGATATATGTTTTAGCTTTTAGTGTTTAAAAGGAGCTAAAATTCTACTACAAGATGATCTAGACTACCTTATTTTTATGCTAATGTTCCAAACCTCAAGTAGGCTTTTAAATACCATCAGTTTCTTAAAGGATTTCTCCATTTAAATTGTGAATTTAAAAAAGTAGTTTTCTTCTCATCTTTAGAACTTTTGGAGAGCTGGCTCTAAATTTCTTCTGTGATGCACTGTTATAGTTTAAGCATACCACATGATTAATTCTGTATTGAATATTAGTAACTTTTGATTAAAAGAGTTTTTACTGCAAAAGCAACCATATTATCCTATAATTTTTTCCTGTGTTTTACAAGATTATTAGTCTCAGAAAGCTATTCTGTAAAGTTTTTATTCAAATGTATGTATCAAGTTAAAGGTTTTAAATAAGGTTGGCATCTGAAATACTTAACTGCATGAAAAGATGGTGTAGAAATAAACATTGCCTTCCATAGAACATTGCCCAACTCTCTTTAGGTTAGAAGGTATTGCAGTATTTGAAGTAGAAAATACTTCAGTGTCTTGAGTATATTGAGTTTTTTCTTGCAAAACTGGCTTTGACGCAATTGTGGTTCTGTTAACACATTCCTCTGCTCTGCCTGGTCAGAGAATCTTGATGTACTGTTAAAGGGAAGACTCTTCACAGTGTATAAATAGGTTACATTTTCTTTTAAAAATGTCATTTCTATGCCAAATGGCAAAAGTGGTCTTGTTGTTTGAGGAGACTGTGGGTTTAGGTCAAGGCCTTTTTACTAGCTGGAAAGATTTGGTTGTTGGCTGGTGAACCACTTATTGGATATTTACAACTTTCCACTGAAGACTTTATACAAAGAAGAAATTCCAGTAACCAATCAACAAAATAAAGATCACAAAAGCTTTAGTTTGGAGTGTATATAAACAAGTTTGGTTGTTCTTGACCAACACGACCTATGGCATATGAATTTATTTTTCTGTGGTGAAAACCTGGAAACTTTGAGTCAATTACAGACCAGTGGTAAACTCCAAACCAAGGCAGTATATTATTATATGTTTCAAGTATCACAGATACTTGAAAAAATATAGACCAGTGGTATACTCCAAACCAAGGCAGTATATTATTATAGATTTCAAGTATCGTAGATATAGAAATTGCTCTAAGAAATGTGAGATACAAATTAGCACTGTAAGAGTAAGTTACAATATCAGGCTTTTCTGTTTTGCCCCTTTGAAGTTGTTCCATATTGCCTGAAAATTAATTCAGCTTAATTAGATTAAGAAGTAATATCATGGGTTGCCCCCATGTCATCTGTGTGACTTTGTCTCCGGAAAGAGTCAACTTTTTCTGTCAGCTCCAAACAGAAACTTTCTGAAATTAATAAATCTTCAAAATTCCTTTCCAGCCATACTTCTACACGTCCTGTACATTCCTTATACTACATTGTTTCAATATTGATTCAAAGAGTGAAATTCAGCATTCATCTTTACCTCATTCTTCAGTCTATGACATAATTTGTCCTTTAAACTTCATTACCAAACTTACCAACATTTGCTGTAGCAGTAAATCATCACCTTAATGACTAAGAGCTTTTGTAATTCTTCAGTAGATTCTTCAGTATTGGCTTCTCAAAAGCCTTAAACAAGAGGTTAGAACACCTCTCACGGAAATTACTCTTCTTTCAAATTACTTTACCTACAAATAGCCCACTACAGAGTATGAAGTGTATGGCTCCCTTCTGAGTATTTTAAATAAAAGGAGGTTAGAACACCTCTCACTGAAATTACTCTTCTTTCAAATTACTTTACAAATAGCCCACTACAGAGTATGAAGTGTATGGCTGTATTTTAAATAAAACAGCAGAACAGTTTAGGCTTTTGCAGATGTGTAACAGAAACAGCTGCTATATCGAAGGAAAAGTCTTGGGTTTACTTTTGGTTTTCTGTAGTGCAAAGGCAACTCCAAGCAAGAGTAAAAGCCAAAGGAATATGAATGAAAAGCACATGAAAGGAAATGGCTGGGTTGAGTCCTGGGAAACAAAGGAAAAAGAGCAGGTTGTGACCAGCTAATGACACAGTTAGATTGTTTAAGGAGTCATTGATGAGGAGCGTTTTGAATCTTTCTGATTTAAACTCTCTAATTTTGCTTTACAGGAAACATTAGCAAAAATTGTACGAGTAATGGATGGTCGGATATATTTCCTGACATCTTAAGTACTTGTGGATATAATGACTACGAAGACGATTATAAGGTAGGGAAAATACATTTTCTATGCATTTAGATGATGGTGTTCAGTACAGCTATCAGATATATTCTGCTTCTAAATAAATCCCAATTTACTCAGACTGAATAAAAATGAGATTTAATAAAAATCTGCAGTAACTTTTCATAGCACTGGTTGCAATACGCTTGGATTGCAGTTGTCTAATGAGATAAAATCAGGAATGTAGAACTCAGTAACTGTTTGAAACTCAAGGCTATAAACAGTTGGTAATTGCAGTGAAGCATCTGTATATCTAATATTGCAGTGCTACTCAGCTGGTGCACCATATGTTTTGCATTGTGTTATTTCTAGAAGTCTGTTATTTCAAAAGGATATTTTTTAAAAGTTATCTCACAACTTAATACTAGTAATCTGTTATAATCTGTTAATATTACATGCACCGCTTGGTTGATGCTACGTGTTAAAGTTGTAAGTAAAATAGAATTGATTTAGATCATTGGAGTTATTGGCAGATTTATACTGGACTTGAAATTGTGCTAATAATTATCCAGAAAGCTATCGAGGTCTCCTAAATGCACTATGCATGGGAAACTGAATATGTTCACTTTGCAGACACTATCTCTTTTTGTTGAGGGAAGGGATTTTACCATCATGTTTTATGTATTTTCTGTCTGTTTTCCTGCTGAGGCTAACAGATCAAGAGTTTGTTTACAAGGATGAGCTCATAGTGTTAGTAAAACGCTTGTTACCCAAAATGGATTAAGCCCTCTCATGAGGGCCAGTTGGTTTTTTTCCCCTGGATTTTAGTAGGTGTGGAATAGCTATAGCAGATCAGTTCTGTCTGGCTTGCAGAGATCCACTGATATTCCAGCTAAGCCAGGAATGTTTTGGCATTTTCTTTCTGTATTTAAAAGCCCAACCACTACTGTAGTTGAAAATCTATAATAGAGAAAATTGAGAGAATATATTGTTTTCCCAACTTCTCTGAAGACAAATTCTAAAACATCTGTGTCATCAGACAGCTTGGGAACACACATGTATTACTGCTAAAACAGACACTTTAAACATTGTCACTCAACTCAGGAATTTCCATGTGGTGTGAAAATGGGTCAAAACATAAAAATTCAAATTAACAAAATATAATATTTCAAGTAGTGAAAAACAGTTAGAAGATGAACTAGTATAATGGAAAAGCAGTTCTTGTTTGACATATTCATTAGTACTTTGAAGACGGTGAATTAAATGCAAATTGAGTATATTTGCAGGAATTAACCTAGACAACTTGAAATAGGATATAGCAGCAACATTTGCAAAAACCTTGAATAAAAGCAAATAATAAAAGTGTGAGGATGAAAATAAAGACAGGGATGTGGAAAGCAGGTACTGGAAAATTATTGGCAAACACATAATCAATATAATGTCATACATACAATATAAATAATTGAGAAAATAGAAAAATGCAAGAATCATGTAGCAGTGAGATTTCAGGAGGCATTTGTGGTAGCAGCAACATTTGCAAAAAACCTTGAAAAAAAAGCAAATAATAAAAGTGTGAGGGTGAAAATCAGGAAAGGGATGTGGAAAGCAGGAAAACTACTGGCAAACATACAATAAATATAATATCCTACATACAATATAAATCATAGAGAAAATAGAAAAATGCAAGAATCATGTAGCAGTGAGATTTCAGGAGGCATTTGTGGTTCTGCACCAGCTACTTGTTTTCACAGAAGATGTTTTCTTGAATTCAGATCTTGGTGCTCAATGGTAGCCACTCAAACCAAAACCTGTACTCATCATAAATCAGTATAGTTTGTTGATTTTTTAAAATCTAATATTTCAACTCTGAGAGCTAAAAATGAAGTCCTAACATTTGGATACTGACTGTTCTGGGCATAAAAATGTCACACAACAATACGCTCTGCAGTATGGGGTATGAAGTATATGAGATTGTCCTCAAGATTACATTAACTAATATTTTAGGGAAGGTGGCAAAATACTTTTCCTAGAGTGAGTCCTAAGTGGTCTTTTTTAGATTTTGTTTTGAAGACAATGCTAGAGGAGTAGAAATTGTCTTTGGTGTAAGTTTGGTGCCCACATCTTCACTGCTGAATAAATTTCTACTATAGATCCAACAAAGTATTTATTCCTTTGGGATTTTTCTGTATTTTAAGACACATTCTTTTATCTTTAATCTAAAGGGGGTTTATTTCTGTGCATATTTTACATATTGTATGTGTAAATGCACACACAGAGGCATATATCTCTCTGCAAATATGCATTTATTTTGGGTAGCTTTGAAAATTGTAAAGAAGGTTTAAATTATCTGTGAGCAAATACCGAATAATTTGTTAACAGGTACCAAGCTGCTATGCTTAAAAATGCACTGAAATGAGGAAGCTTATTAAAAATAGCATAAACATGTCACCTCTTATTTCCTTACTGAAAGATCTTGCATGCTTCCACAGTTTCTATTGATTTAATGTTCAAATTAAAATGTTCCAATTTTATTTCATTTTAATGATATATTAGTGGGTTTTATAAAAAGAAAATATTTTCTTAACATTTTGAAATTAACTGTAAGTGCCCTTGGTTTATTCTGTGTTAGATCTTAATGCTCTTTACTACTCTTGCCATTATTTTGGGGGGATAAGTTTGATAAATATGACTGTCCTGGTTTTTCAGCTGGGATAGAGTTAATTTTCTTCCTAGCAGCTGGTTTTGATTGGGGGGATAAGTTTGGTAAATATGACTATCCAGTTTTTCAGCTGGAAAAGAGTTAATTTTCTTCTTAGTAGCTGATACAGGGCTGTGTTTTGATTTTGGTGTGAGAATAATGTTGATTATTTGGTATAATTTGATTATACTGGTGTTTTGCTGTTGCTAAGTAGTGCTTAGCCTAAGTCAAGGACTTCTCAGCTTCCCAGGCTCTGCCAGAGAGCAGGTGCACAAAGAGCTGGGAGGGAGCACGGCCAGCACAGCTGACCCCACCTGGCCAGAGGGACATTCCCCACCACAGAATGTCATCTCCAGTATATAAACCAGGAGGAGTTGACTGGGAGCTGTCAGCTGCTGCTCAGGGATGGGCTGGGCATCAGTCAGGGGCTGCTGAGCAATGGAATTGGGTATCACCTGTCTTATCCCAACCCAGGTTTTCCCTTCTTCCCAGTTCTCCTCCCCACCCCCAGGAGGAGGGAGGGGAGTGGGGTGTTTTGTTGCTGCTGGGGTTAAAGAGCAACAATGACAATATCTGAACAAAATATTTGTATGTTGTTATGGCATCAAAGTGTAAATCTAAACCTTTATTATATGCTTCCAGACATTTTTCTGTAAGCAAACTAGTTACTGCTAACCTTGAAGATCAAGTTTTACGTTCATCTTAGGTATTCAGATATGTATCTTTTTTTCCCCATTTTATATTTCTGTGGAGCTCATGGCAGTACAACATGCAAACAGAAAAAAAAGCAAGCTTGATTTGACCATGCTAGAAACACACATCAAGGTGTGTTAACCAAACACAAGCCTCACTGTAGTCTTTCCTTGACATACTTTGACATCTTCTACCTAGACTGAACAAGCTGGAGACATGTCCTTGCTGTTGTCAGAAGGTATTAAACTCTGTGTCAGCATTATTAATATACAGGAAGATGTCTGGTGAATGTAAAGCACTAAAATGTGTCCACTTTATTTAAAACAATGACTGAATCAGTTAACACAGCTTTGTCTGATCTTAGACCCAGGCCTTATTAGATAAAACAAAAGCTTCACTATATAAAAGTTTCAGGCTGTGTGATTTGAATGTGTAGTGTCATACCAAGAGAAATTCATGGAGAAAAAGATCCTCTGGGCTGTTAAATGTGCTGATACTGTGCAGTTTGTGCCTGTAGTAGAAGTGTCATATGCTGTGATGGTCTGGTGGTAAGTGTGCTGTGACCTTCCTAAGGAAGTGTCCTAAGGAGGGATCAGGGGCACAGGCACGTCCTCCTCTCAGCCCAGGGAGCAATGTTCTGCTTCAGCTTCTTCTGGGAGACACAGAGAAAGATACAGGAGCCTTATCTGGCTTCGCACAGAGTAATAGTCTCCACTAAGAGCAGAGCCCTCCACCCAGGGAACCAAGGCCAAAAACTGCAAGGAGCCCGGGAAGAAAGGGGCTTATATGGGAAAAATGAGGGGTGGGACAAAACTTGGGAACCAATAGAGTACAGGTGCAGGGGTGGAGCAAAGGGGAAGGGCCAGTGGGGTGGGAGAAATCAACATATGACTGCGAAGGCCTCGGGGGTGGGTGATCTTTCAGCTCAGCCTAACCAAAGGCTGTGGTGCAGGGGCCTGGCTCTCCAGGGCAGCACAGCAAACTTTTCCTAGGCTGGTTCTCTGGCCCCCAGAATCATCCATGGAAGAAGCATCCCCATTTTCTCAGTTCCTGGAGTGTTGCCATCACCATGGAGGAGCAGCAGAAATGCCTCCCCAGACGAGGGCAGCTGAGGCAGGACAGGCAGGGGCACGAGCAGGGCCATGAGAAAACAGATGCATCACTGCTCTGGAATAATGCGCTGTTTGCAGTGAGTCTAGATTGAATCTTTGCCTCTCACCAAAATCTGCCACAAGGCAGACATCTACCAATGTGTTTCCTCGTGTCTGTCAGTCATGCTAAATTTGTTTATGTTGTGCTGTATTTTTCATTAATATTTTTCCATGAGGTGTGATTAAGAGACCAGTATTCCTTAAAATAAGTGCAAAAATTGTCCATTGAGTTCAAGTGAGGACTAGGACTGAATATTAGCTGATATTCTCTCTCTTGTAGAGCAAAGAGGGAATTTGCTCTAATTGCAGAATATTAATAAGCTGCTAAATTCCAGTCCATGAGTGTTCACATTCACAGATACATTTGCTGATACATGTTTACACAGGAAGATGTGGAATTTACATTTTCCTGTATGGTGCATTTACAAAATTGTCATCTCTCCCACTGCGGTTAGGGAACCTTGAATAAGACATTCTGACTGGCATAATTAAAATTAACGATGCTACTATTACTATAGGAGATACTTATGGCACTGCTGATCTCATCTTTTCTCTGGGTGATGTTAAACTCAAAGTGAATTGAAGGGAAAATTTCAGAAAAAGGATATTATTAATTACTTGTATAAAGATCATTAAATACCATGAGAAATACCAATTTTATTGCACGTCTTTTAGTGAACTCTATTCTTCTCTACATACATAATTCTAAAATGTGTAGAAGTGTCCTATAAGACAAAATTAAATTTTCCACAACATGTAATCCATGTCTTTATCTCAGTTTATATTCATTCTTGTATAAGTACAAGATTTTAAAAATGGTTACTGCCTTGTTGAAGTCCATTTTGCAGAAGCAAAGAACTCGGGTTCCTTACTCCATTTCTATTTGAATTTGCTCATTTCAGTGTTTCTAAGGCACTGAACTCATTTGCTAGGCCCAGTTCTTATTTTACATTGTACAGTTTAAGATTTTCTGATACGTTCTCTGAGTATGAATATTCAAATACTATGAAATGTTCAAATATTGACACATGCATCATGAAAATTTAAGATCACAAATTTTAGCACAGTTTTAAGTAATTACATCTGTAAAGAGGAAGCTCCTAGGTACAGTATTACAGGATTATATTAGCCCAGGGAATAAACAAATTGAAGAGTCAGTTGGGATGATAATGATCATATATTCCTTAGCAATGATAAATTGTATTTCTGAATAAAATTAATAAAAAGTTGAGGGCTTTTCTTTTATATTAAGGGTGATTTCTGGTCAACAGCAAACCTTTGGACAAAGAATCAAGCCCTTAACTTTCTCCAGTTTCTCCTTCAGCACTGAGTACCTTCTCACCCCTAGAGGTCCTTCCAAGCCAAGGCTGAGGTTGGGAGATGTGCCGGGCGACTCAGCCTTTCCTAGGAAGTGTCTCTGCTATTCTGTAAATAAGCAGAAGAATTCTGTCTCCTGAACTTGGTAAAAATAACAATAAACTAAATTTAAAGGAAACATTAGCAGAAACAGGTGGCTTTTCTAAGAAAACAAAATACAAGTGTGGCTAAAAATAGACTTTCAAAAAATGTATTGAAGTTAAGACAAATTAGGCAAACTTGTACTAATCCAATTTCATTTTATATGTAGAGGTTTATGTCCTTTAAAAACCTATTAACATTAAGTAGCCACAAAAAAGAGGAAATAGTTTAGGATTAGCTCTTTGGAAAACATGTACACTTCCTGTAACCATTTCCATTATTTTTTTCTGAAAACCATAAGCCACTGATTTTTTCTGTGCCTAACCACCTAATGGCTTTGGTTTAGTGGTTGTAATTTTAATATTTTCCTCGGAAGTTTAAAAATAAGTAATTGGATTCCAGTTTTGGAGTCATCATTGTTTAAATAATCATGTGAATATTTTGCAGAGGCCATCTGTTATGATGATGTTCTGATTTTGTTAGACCTGCAGAAAAGTTCATGTCTTTTCAATTTCATAATGGGATTTCAATTTCATGTGTATGACTTGAATCAAGTTTTCCTTTGAAAAGAGCTATAAAATCTGTGGAGGTTATAATATTTCTCTGTGTTAAAATATTTGAATATATCATTTCTGAAATTCTCTTTTGGTCAATCCATACCTTTGTTGCAGTCATTTTATTCCTGACAATCTTGCACATTTATATTTAAGTTTAGAGGTTGAAGTTAAGTGTTACTTGAGACATGGCTAATTACTGTTCACACAGAGCAGTAAGAGATAAACATGACATCCCATTTTATATAAAAGTCATTGGTTTTTGTGCTATCAGATTTGGCATTGCTTTGCCTGTTTGTTTTGCACCAATAAAATACAAAGAGTTTGTTTCTAAAGGCTATTAGCTAAAATACAGATGAGTGACAAATATTTAATAGCTGTGACTAAGTCAATATTAGTCTAATGAATTTCCTGGTTTTCAATTGCCACAGCACAATGGGGAATTTAATTCTTTGTCTTTATGAAGTTTGTGTGTTTAACTGACATATAATTTGAGAACACCTTTGTTTTTTGGGGTTTTTTTTTTGTTTGGTTGTTTGTTTGCTTTGGTTTGGGTTTTTTGTGGTCTTTTTTGTTTGTTTATTTTTTGGTTGGTTTTTTTTTTGTGGAGTCACTAGGAGTTATAGAGGTCTTACAGGCAAATTAAGGCACATCTCTTATGTTCATACAGGAAATGTAAGGAGCAGTATGATTGCATCATCCTTGGTGCTGAGTCTGATAAAGTGCTTCATGCTAATAAACTAAAGCATTCTAATAATATAAATTTTTTTGGAAAATCAAAACACATGAATTTGAATGTTTGTAATTTTTGATGTAATGGATTAAAAATGGGTGGGTTAGTGTTTACTTACCTTTGCAACAGTTTGAGAAGCAGGGTTAATTTTTTGATCATAGAAAAATGTGTAGCATCTAAGATTTCTCTCCATTATAAAACTAAACCACTAAAATGTTGGAGGAAAAGGGAAAGATGTTCTCTTGTACCATTTCAAGTGTGGAAGAGCAATAATTATCATATGATAAAATAATTTCAACTGTGTAATTATTTCTTATTTTCTCATGCTTAGCTTGAGTAAAATTACCATGGTCATTATTAAGGTAATGTCCAAGCGCTCCTGGCTGATTAACTTCAATCCTGACATAGTTCCATGCAGGTATTTCACATTAATCTCTTTGGCCAAGGAATGGCTAGCAGAAGCTCAGCCCTGCTGATTCTGTCAGCTGTTTGCTGGGCTAAAACTACACAAGCTTCTTCTTCTGATTTTAGCCAGACTATTTGTTGTAGGGGTCATGTGTGTGTAACAGAACACCAGAAACATTACATGAAATAATGTGTTTTTTTCTGGCAGAGGACAACCTCTTTTGTTCTCCCTAGCAGGGCAAAGTGACAGAGTCACTTCATGTGCAGCAGCCTGACAGTTTCTGTCAAGCTCAGAGCACATGGCCAGAGGATAAATTCAAGGCAGTATTACAGCAATGGGGCAAGACAACTGATGCTTTATTAGTAAGTTCATGCAGGGTTTCCACCTTTTTTTCCTTCATTTAGGAATTCTGAAACCAATTTCAGTTTCCAATTTCAAGAGTCTCAGTCAGTGGAGTTTTCCTGAAATCAAATCTGAACAGAATTTTCAAAAATTAAACCAGTCCAGCTTTCTTGTTGGGCATGTCTGAATCATCCCAGTGCAGTTTGAACAGCTACTTTCTTTATAACAAAGTACCAAAGACAATTTCTACAATCTAATTGAAATATATAACAACATAACAATTGCTATGAATGCACTTAAAATCCATGGCAGTTGCTTCCCATATTTTTCCACTTTAGCCATATCTACAGCAGAGCAGTTGCAAGTCTTCATTCATTTCACATTTCATTTTGCTTTTTCCATATCTGTGTAACGATTGCAAAGGGAATGTTAAGCTAATTTCATTATGAATTGGGATTACTAAAATAACCTACTAACTTGGACTTTTGAGTGCTATAAAAATAAATACACTAAAGTAATTTGAGATTCCTTTGGCTATGTTAGTTTACTTAAAAAAGCTGCCTCATTGCTACTTTTTACCAGCCTCATTTGGGAAGGCAAATGATAACCACATGCACTAAATATTGAAATTTTGTCTCTTATATGTAGCATGTTCTATGTTGCTTTTAAAATCTTTAATTTCATAATATAATAAAAAAACTTCACTGTTTTAATATTTTATTTAGCTTGAGTGGAAACTAATGTCAGTCTAATGACTTCCTTTTAGGCATAAATGGAGAAACAGTTTAATTCTGAAGATATTTGACCCTATTTTTCTTTTGTTATTCAGAATAAGACTTAATGTAGTGTGTAGGTGGTGAATTTACAGATATATGCAGTTAATCAGCAGACTGTGCCTTTCAGCTTGCTTTTCCTCTGTTGAAAATCTTCCTTTCCAAGTTTTAGCAAGTAACTTTACTAAAGAAAGAGTGGTTTGAGTCACCATTTAATAAAGTATTTGAAAACTTAGAATGAGAAATTAATGAGACTTGAACATGTCTTTAAAATTAAATTCATGTATAACAGCATTACAAAGCACTCTAGAGCAGAAGGACTGAGGGAGATTCTTTCTTTTAGAGATAATCCATTCGTTCAAACTAACTTTGCTCTTATCAGTTTATGTTCATGGAAATTGATGAATCTGATACTTTATTTGACCTCACTGACATGGTATAATCAACTGGAATGGTACCACACTGTGTGTCTAAGTTTGGAGTTCCTGAGGCTGAATTTTCTGCTGAAGTCAATTGTCTTGAGATGTTGCCTTGCCAAATGTGTTGGAATAGAGATTTAACATTCTCATCATGTACTGTAGAGCAAAGAATGAAAATCATGCTATAGCTTTCAGAGCGATTTAATGGACAATTACATCATTTCACAGACAATTTGATGTATTAGTAAGTAGTTTCTGCATATATATTTTTCTGTGCAGGTCAACTTCTATGTGAGGGTGAAAGCAATTTATACCCTTGGACACAGCGTATCTCTGATTGCTCTTACAACAGGAAGTATAATTCTTTGCCTTTTCAGGTATGTGTTTTTTCATGAGTAAATACTAACAATCATAAGAAATCTTTAACTGTTGTCTGATTACTCAGCTATTTAGAAAATTCATGGAGTTTACACTTTTGCAGTTAAGCAGCTGACAGTAATGTAATGCTGACTAGATTTTTGCCTAGATTTTGCTAGCAATGATCATATTAATAATTTTCAAAGCATTAGACAAATTTACAGGCATTACAGCACATGTAAGAAAGAACAGTAATTTAGGAATGATTACATAAAGCATTTTCTATTTGGTTATTCAACGCCTTGAATTGCTCTTGAGAATTAGTTGGATGCTGATCTCACCACTGGACATGAGTGCAGCCACGTTTTGCATAAGCTTCTGAGTGCTTTCCAGGGGTACTGTAATCAAAGGCAATCACTAATTTGTCCAACTGTAAATCACAGAATCACCAAATCACAGAATCTCCAAAGTTGAAAGAGACTTTCAGGATCATCTACTCCTGCCATCAACCCAGCATTGCCATAACCACCCCTAAACCATATCCCCAAGTGCTGCATCCAAACACCTTTTGAACAAGTCCAAAGACAGTTGACTCCACTACCTACCTGGGCAACTCATTCCAATGCCTGATCATTCTTTCAGTGAAAACTTTTTGTCTAATACCTAATCTGAACCTCCCCTGATGCAACTAAAGGCCCTTTCCTCTCATCCTTTCACTTGAATCATGGCAGAAGGGACCAGTCCCCACCTGGCTGCACCCTCCTTTCAGGTGGTTGTAGGGAGCAATGAGGTCTCCAAACAAAACAACCCCAGTTCCTTCAGCTGCTCTGCACAAAACCTGTTTGCTAGACTCTTCACCAGCTTCGTTGCCTCTGTCTGGGCACCCTCCAGCACCACAAAAATGTCCTTTTTGAAATGGAGAACTGAACTGAACATGGTGCTCAAGGTACAAGCCTCACTGGTTCCAAGCACAGTAGCAAAGCTGTGGATAATTGTGCTGGGTCTGCAATGTTTTTGTTTGGTAGTGTTAGGAAATGCAGTACTGCCTGCTGCTTTTGCCCAATTTCTGTGACTTTTCTCAGGCTGAAGGCAATCTTCAACTAGTAAAATAACTTTTAAGTCTTCAACTAGTAATAAATATTTTTACTGGTCTTATCAGTATTGCAGTTTTTCTCAGTCCCTCCACCTTCATGCCTTTATGTATAACTTCCACCTAACAGAATAGCCTTTATATTCTCCATTATGAACTTCACACCACTTTTCTGCTCCACTTAGGACCAAGAAAGCCAAGAAAGTGCATATCACAGTTTTGGTAGAAAGAAAGTACAAATAATATGTAGATAACAGCCTGTTGTTTGTCAGAGCCTCATTCCTCTCATTAAATATTCCTATGGTGAGATCTGTAAGCCTTTCAGTTTGCCATCAAATTTTCTCAATATCTAAATCTTCAGAGAACATTCAGAGCAGATATGTAACCCATAATTATGTTTAGAATGCCTTTAAAAAAAATGAAGTGAGCCAGTCATGGTTATACTCGTTCTATCAGCAAATGCTCCAATGCAGATTACTGCAGTTTCAGAACTGCTAAAAGCTAAAACCACATTTAATACAGAGAATTACAGACATCTGAATGTCACCCATCACCAGAAGTCAGGTGTAACCAGTCAAGCATTTAAGAGGTGTACTCAAAACCTTCAACCTCAGTTTAAATATCCAACTAGAAATTTTTCCCAGTCTTCCAGTTGAGTCAGGGAAAAGACAGATTTTCATGACACTACATATGTTCTTCTAGGCCCTCCTTCAAGAAGAATCCTCCTCTGTTCTTTGCAGGGAGTGTTGGGGCCTCCCAACATAGTGAGTTGAATTAAGAGTTAATTTCTGCCCACTAACTCTTAAAATATTTGTTTGACAGCCTTGCATATATCCAACATTTATTATTTGAGCTACTGAATTGGATGAATAACTAATCATCTACATTAGTTATTCAAGAAAAATAGTTTCCTCCTATTTGCAGCTTGCATGTATCTCTGAATTCCACAGGAACATGTGGTGCAGTCCAACATAATAGTGGTATTTCAGCAAAGGATGTGCATGGCCACAGCAATCACTGCATTTTTGACAATGCTTAAACAACTGCTTAAAATCCAGCCTGGTATTATGTCCTTTGCCAAATTCAGGCCTAACATGGCAGATGTGTTCTTTATTTCTGTGCACTTTTTGTAACTGTCCTTGCTTCAGTAATTTCAGAATGGATTATGTATGTTTGATAAAAATTACAACTGGAAGAATACTTGTAAGTTGCCACTGCACACTTCCACTACACCTATTGCATCTTCTTCATTTTTTTCCCTGCTCATGCTTGCTAAAATGCCTTGGCTTCTGCTCTGTTTTCAGGTGCACAACTGGAAGAATACTTGTAACTGCACGCTGCCATTGCATCTATTGCATCTTCATTTCTTTCCCTGCTCATGCTTGCTAAAATGCCTTGGCTTCTGCTCTGTTTTCAGGTGTAGCTCAAGGTGCTGATTGTGCCCACAAAAACCTCTTAGCACTTTGTTTTTTAGGGATTTTCTATAAAAAGAATATTTTAAACAGGAAAATCTTGAAGGAACTGTATTTTAAGGGAAAAGCCCTCAACTTCTAGCTTGCTTCCCCTGAGCTCCCATTCAGTTACATGGAATCTTTTATCTGTCATTTGTTTGTAAGGCTTTCACATGGCTGCCAGACTAAAGTTTTGCATTTATTGGACAGAAAGGATTTGTGATCAAATATTCTAAATGCATTTTTAATTGCTCCTGCATACACCATCATCATAGGATCAAAAGTCACTCTGTAGCAAAACACAGGAGTTAAATAAAAGAATGAAACCAGAAAATAATAGGTGAGAGTACATCTGAAGTATATCCAGGATAATCAAAGTTGTATTTGCAAGAAAAACACTGGAATGAGTGCACACACAGAAGGATACAATAGCCTGTGTTTATTGTCAGCTTATTGTGTCAGTTTGTTGTCAGTTTATTATGTTATGTTAAAATGTGCGAGAAATACCACTGGGATCTTTTAATCTGTGATATTGAACAGAAGTAAGAGATGAAAGAAAACAGCAAGGCAGCCCTGACAAAATGACAGAAAAGGAAAGGGTATGCTCTTACTCAAGGTTCATATTGTTAAGAAATATCCACAGAGTAATAAAGTCTTTCAACAGTTTCTGCATCATAAACTAAAATGCTTCTTTTTAAATCTCTTTTTAGAAAACTTCATTGTACTCGGAACTACATCCATCTGAACCTGTTCCTCTCTTTCATTCTAAGAGCAATCTCTGTTTTAGTCAAGGATGATATTCTCTATTCCAGCTCCAACACAGCTCACTGTCCAGAGGATCAAACCTCATGGGTAATAAACCTCATTTGTTACCTGGTGTAACACTGTTTCATCACTGAATTTTCCTCCCTCATCCTTTTAAATATTTAGGAGTACCAAGATTTCACTGCAGACAATTCTGAAGAGAACGTAATGACTGGGAGAATGGGGTGTTAGATGTATCCAGATAAAGAAGGTTGCAGCACAAGTAGGAGACCTTAACATTGTTTGCATGTCCATGAAGGACAACTTATCATCAGCCAAGACAAATCATAACCAGATACAGCTGGTTAAATAAATACCCAGCCACTATAAATAAATATGAATAAATATGGCCACTGCATTAATCAGCTGGGAGGGTTGAAGACAAACTGGAGTGCCATCAGCTGGGAGTGATTAAAGGCAGCTGCTCTGGAAGTGTTCCAGCAGCTTTATCGGGGTGCAGGAATTGGACAGGTATCAGTGGAGGGAGGGAATAACTCAGGAAATTAAATATTTGCAGGAGTTGTCTTCATTAACTCCTCAGTACTTCTGGGCTATGACAGAAGTGTTATCGTCTGCACTCTTGGCAAGCAAATATGTTTACTGCATTTTCATGTACAGGGCTTAAAAAAATCTCAAGTCTTGCTGTTAAAATACTGACCTCTATATAATATGCCCCATTCACTGCTGTGTTGTTTTAGTCAAAAATCCCTTCTGATTTTAATTAATTACAGTTCAGGCTTGTGAGGAAAAAAATGGAATAAGATATTTTTTGTCTTGGTGTCCCAAAATGTGAAGTTCTTAGCAGTGAATACCAAGCTGTATATAGGAATTCATACTCTGGGATATTTCTAATGGAGAAAAACAGGAACTGAGTTAGGAGACTGCAGTTAGGCAAAGTTGATAGCAAACAGATTGTCAGGGGTAATCAGAAGTTCTTAGGTCCTTGAAAGACTGTTCAGTGGACTCTCAAAATTCTGCTTGGTTTCTGTGATTTCATTTATTCTCCAGCTATTCTTGGCTACAAAGCCTTATACTTTCCTATTTAAATATGTCAGATTTTGTGGACTGCTGAATCATTTCTGTTGCATTGTATGTGGGATGGTCTGGCACCAGCCTGACAAGGCTGGTCTGTCTATCAAGCACTGGCTTGTTGCTGCCTTTCACACAAAACAGCACATGGGGTTTTCCCCTTTTGTCATGTGTGTGTGATGTTCCACAGTCCTGCTGCACTCACAGAGGTCTAAAACACACAGTTCATAAGCTCTGTAAGTATGTCCTGGCTCTGGATTACATAGAGAATTAATTTTTGCTAACTTTACTGATAGATACTTTCACTGTTCATCATGGACAAATGCAGTTGATACAGGATTACCTGCAGGAGGAAGGGAAAGTACTTCGATGTAGGGTTCTGGTATCTGAATTGAGACTATAATACAAGGGAATATTAGAATTTATAAAAGATTACAAAATTTTCAGTGCTGATCTCATTGTAAGGAGTCCTAAGTATAAAAGCAAATTTCAACTTGTTTGAAAATTTCAACTTTTGACACATTTTGAAATGCTTAATTTTATCCATCTTACATTTTCTGGCCCATTGTTGATCTGTAGTGGATATCCCAAACTCCAGAGGTAAGATCAGTTTTACCAAAGTTAGCTATCTTTCCAACTTTGGTTGTAGGTAACTAAAATCAGGTAAATTAATTCAAGCCTTTGGACTCTTTCTTAGTTTTCTATATAGGCATTAACACAGGCATGGATGTTACTTGGAATGCACTGAGGTGTCTCAGACATCCTGGGGGGCTGATGGGTACAAAGAAGTCTCCCTGAGGAGGTCTGTGCCCTTCTGGCTTAGCAGCTGGTGACTGCATCTCACTTCTTAATAAACATCTAGGTTTAGAGAGAGGAATTAATCATCACTGAAAATAAGCTGCCTGCTTAGGTATCTGGTGTACTTGGAATTTTAACAGAAAAATGCAGGTATAAAGGGTATTTAAAATGGAGAAGTGAGTAAAACCTAGTAGAAACTATAGATTTTATTTGGTCCACTTTGTGTAGTCTGTTACATTCACCATATCATCACATTTCTTGGCACATTCTCAGTCCATATGAGCATTTTCATATTCAATTCTCACATCCCAGATTCCTACTGGGAAGTACCAAAGTAGCAGCAGCCAGCACTGTGGAACATCAGCAGCACAGACATCTGAAAATTAATTCTGAAGACCAGCACACAGACTATAAGCATCATTTTTTGATACATATCTATGTTTTATTAATTAAGAAACATTAAAACATTTTCTAAAGGGAAAACATTATTTTTAAAAATCCAGACAACTTTTTCTTCTATCTCTACTAAGTAATCACATAAAGTTACTTTATAATAATTTAGTTATTGTTTACTCAGTTTCACATTTAGCTTTGAAAAAAATCGTAAAGTACTTTCTTTGTTAAGTTTTACTGTGTTAGGAAGCCATGTGAGGTTTTAGTACATTTATTAGACTCCAGATAGGTGATAATTTAATTTTATAGTCATTCATTAATAAACTGTTGCAAAAGTGTGCATTTATTGATAACCACTATATTTTTCTATATTTATCCTATGAAGTTTTCAAAATTTCTGAGTGAATTTGCAATGACAGCCATCTAAATAATTTTAAATAATTCACTTTCTCTTAGCATGTACAGTAACATTTACAATGTTGCATTTTGCTTGACTGAAGATAAACATTTCTACTGGACCTGGCTTATTGATGCTACAAAGACAGCTAAGATTTTTGGCTGTAGTAATAAAAATAATATGGCATCTTTCCTGTGACAAATTTGATCCTTCTTCTTGTATTTCAGGTGGGCTGCAAGGCAATTCTGGTGTTTTTTCAGTATGGTGTTATGGCAAACTTTTACTGGCTCTTGGTAGAAGGACTTTACCTCCACATCCTCCTTGTGCTAATATTCTCCCCCAACAGACACTTCACGATCTACCTGCTGATAGGGTGGGGTAAGAACTTGCCCATCTTCCAGTAATGTTCTTTTTTCTGTGTGTTGGTCAGGTTCAGTGTTTCATACCAAGTTAGTTGAGCTGTCTCTGGTGGTGACTCCTCAGGCTCACAGATTGCTCAGCTCAGCTCCTGCACAGGTTACAGGGAAGGAGGAGGCACAGAGCTGCTGGAGCAGTTCTTCACTGCTGGCTTGATCCCTGCCACAGCTTTCACCTGTGCCATCTGCACCACACCCAGGGATTGCTCTGGTGCAAGGGCTGCCACTGCAAAACATATGATTCAGGTGTCCTAATTTGTGAGGAAAATTAAAGTTTAGCTGCACAGCCATGAGCTGTATTTTATGTAATTTTCCTTTTTGAAAAGCCCAAACAATACTGTCCATCTGGTTTTAAATACATATATTCCTTTTATTTACAGAAAGTGCCATGATATATATATGAAACACTTTGATACTTCCAGTAATAGGTGGTCATAAAACATTTGGGTGTTGCTGGGAAATGGGAATAAACCAGTGTGTGGACAAGGTTCCTTATGAAATGATTTATACTTCTATTTTATATTGCAGTCCTTGGAGGTGCATTGGGAATGCATAACTTGTATCTATTTCCCTTTAAGTCACTCTGACACCTTGCAAAAAACCTAAGAAAGGTGGATTTTTTTGTGTATTAGTAATTATGGCTGCATTCTATAAGAAATAAACTCACTTCCCTGCAGTCTTTGTTTGTAATACATTACTGATGTATACAAGTAATCATGTAGCTCATCAGATGGACCTCTCCTTCCATTCACTGAACTGTTTACTATATGCTGTGTATTTGGTGAATAACTGCTTACTAGCAGGCTGAACTTTTTTTTTTTCCTGTGGACTTGCATTTTTGTGATCATTCTCTAAACCTCTTTGGCATTTTCCAGGAATTCCTACAATATTCATTATTACATGGACAGTGACACGGATCATTCTAGAGGACACTGGGTGAGTGTGTGTGGGAGAGAAAGTTTAAATCCCCCCATGCCTGTGCAATCCTTGCCTTGGGTGTGGTGTTGCTCACACGAAGGTGGTTTGCTGCTCTGGAGGGAACGAGCACAGAACTGAAATTTCAGAGATGGCAATAAAAGGGCAGATGTTTGGGAGCTCTTCAGCTGTGGTTTATGCTTGATGTTTATTTGAAAAACTCGGAGAGCAGGAGAGAGCAGGGATAAGTTATGACTCCTGCTACTCCTTGGCACACCCACATCTGGAGCTATCTGCTTGGGAAGTCAAAGTTATGTTGGAAACAGCAGTGGGGTCCTTGGGCTCAGTGCTGCAACATGTGCAGGAAGGCACTGGCCATTCCAATTTGCTAACTGGCAATTCAGAAGATTGAAGTGTAGATAACTTTGGGTAAATATAAATTGTATTCCCAAAAATGAAGTGATGTAAGGGTGTGTCAAATGCACATAGCCAGGTAAAGCTAAAGCTAACTAGAGCTAAGCCTGGCTCCTGGCATGTGAAGGGGAGCTGAGACAAGAATTTTGTAGGAAAATCAGAATTGATCCTGCTGCTCCCAAGGAATGGGAGAACATTCCTAACTAGTGGACAAACAGTTTGCATAGTCCTGTTTTGTCCAACTAACTATTATGTTTCAATTTATTCTGCAATTAAACTGAAAAATCATGTCCTACATAATTTCAAGTCTTTCTTTGCAAGACATCTAACGTGTAAACCAAAGGCAAACTCCTTTTTCCTTTGTCATTATGATTACAGAGGAAGTCTGAAGGGTACTTAATCTCTAATCTGACTAACCTTTTGGAGCACTAAGAGTATTTGGATCAAAAGTGCTGAGCCCAGGGTGAAAATTAAATATTCAGTTTTTCAGGCAGAACTTCAGGTTCAGTCGCACATTTTCACAAACAAGTTCCAGGCATCTATAACCTACATGGAATTATGTAATTCCAATTGCACTTGTCAGGTGCTTTAGATCTTCCTGCTACCCAGAGGTCGGCATTAAGTGCACACTGGAGAAGTGTCTTTACACAAAGTGAAACTGAGCTTGGTTCCCACAAAGGTCAACATCCTCCATGATGTCTAATGGTACAGCCCAGTGTGCTTGATCTTTTAGCTGATTTCACAGAAGGGATTGGTTTGGGAGGGACCTTGAAGACCAGTTGGTTCCAACACTCCTTGCATTGGGCAGTGATGCCACACTCAGGTTACTCAGAGCCCCATCCAGTCTGGCCTTGAGCACTTCCAGGGATGGGACATCCACAGCTTCTCTGAGGCCACACCCTGAGACCTGTGTCCAGTTCTGGGCCACTCACTGCAGGAAAGACACTGAGGTGCTGGAGTGTGTCCAGAGAAGGGAAACGGAGCTGGTGAAGGCTCTGGAGCATGAGTCTGGTGAAGAGCAGCTGAGGGAGCTGGGGATGTTCAGTCTGAAGAAAGGGAGGCTCAGGGGAGACTTCATCATTCCCTACAACTGCCTGAACAGAGGTTGTAGGCAAGTGGGGATCATTCTCTTCTCCAGGCAACCAGTGACAGGACAAGAGGAAATGGCCTCAAGCTGTGCCAGAGGAGGTTCAGTTTGGACATTGGGAAGAATTTTTTCACTGAAGGGGTTGTAAAGCATTGGAATGGGCTCCCCACAGAGGTGGTGGAGTCAGCTTTCCTGAAGGTGTTCAAAAAATGACTGCATGTGGCACTCAGTGCCATGGTCTAGTGGTCCTTGGTTGAAGGTTGGACTCAATGATCTCAGAGGTCTTTTCCAACCTAAATGATTCTGCAACTTTATGAGTAAAGAATTTCTTCCTGACATCTAAATCTCTCCTCTTTCATTTTTAAACCACTGTCCCTTGTCCTATCACTACATACCCTGGCAAAATGTCATTTTCTCTCTTTTTTATAAGTCCCCTTTAAGTGCTGGAAGGTCACAATGATTTCTCCTTGGAGCCTTGTATTCTCCAGGCTGAACAACCCTAGCTCTCAGCCTGTCTTTGCAGGACACTCCTTGCATTGGGCAGTGATGCCACACTCAGGTTACTCAGAGCCCCATCCAGTCTGGCCTTGAGCACTTCCAGGGATGGGACATCCACAGCTTCTCTGAGGCCACACCCTGAGACCTGTGTCCAGTTCTGGGCCACTCACTGCAGGAAAGACACTGAGGTGCTGGAGTGTGTCCAGAGAAGGGAAACGGAGCTGGTGAAGGCTCTGGAGCACGAGTCTGGTGAAGAGCAGCTGAGGGAGCTGGGGATGTTCAGTCTGAAGAAAAGGAGGCTCAGGGGAGACCTCATCATTCCTTACAACTGCCTCAACAGAGGTTGTAGGCAAGTGGGGATCATTCTCTTCTCCAGGCAACCAGTGACAGGACAAGAGGAAATGGCCTCAAGCTGTGCCAGAGGAGGTTCAGTTTGGACATTGGGAAGAATTTTTTCACTGAAGGGGTTGTAAAGCATTGGAATGGGCTCCCCACAGAGGTGGTGGAGTCAGCTTTCCTGAAGGTGTTCAAAAAATGACTGCATGTGGCACTCAGTGCCATGGTCTAGTGGTCCTTGGTTGAAGGTTGGACTCAATGATCTCAGAGGTCTTTTCCAACCTAAATGATTCTGCAACTTTATGAGTAAAGAATTTCTTCCTGACATCTAAATCTCTCCTCTTTCATTTTTAAACCACTGTCCCTTGTCCTATCACTACATACCCTGGCAAAATGTCATTTTCTCTCTTTTTTATAAGTCCCCTTTAAGTGCTGGAAGGTCACAATGATTTCTCCTTGGAGCCTTGTATTCTCCAGGCTGAACAACCCTAGCTCTCAGCCTGTCTTTGCAGGAGAGATGCTTCAGCCCTCTGATCACCTTTGGGTGATCACCTCTGGACCTCTTCTAACAGAGCCACATCTTTCTTCTGCTGAGGAGTCCTGAACACAGTGAACACACTCCTGAACACAGTGCTCCTGGTGGGGAAATCAAGTATGCATATTAAAACAAAGGGAATAAAATTAATAGCTGGAAAGGATTAAATGCCAAATTCTGGGCTAGAGCAGGCATTATTTTAGTGTGCTTTGACTTGTTTATAAGAAATATTTCTCATAGGTCTTGCTTGCCAGATGATATTAATGTCAACATGATTTTCCCTGTTTTTTTTATAGCTGCTGGGATACAAATGAGCATGGTGGTCCCTGGTGGGTTATACGAATACCAATTTTAATTTCTATTATAGTAAGTAAAATTTGAAGCATGAATTATAGATCTGTTCAGCATTGTGCAGTGCATGTAGCCATTATTCTTTACTGCTAGTTACATATAGACAAGAATTCCATTTTAATGAAAATAAATTGTGCTGCAGGAGAAATGTTAAACAGATGCCAAGGCCATTAAAATTTGTTGCCTTCAAAATTTATCTGCCTCCTATTAAATTAGCAGTTGCTTTTATTTGTGTGTTGTTCTTTCTTTAACATCTCTCCTGTTTATGAGCCTGGAGGAAGGAAAAATCTAATTATACTTCTCAATGAATTGCAGATTTGATTTTGTGTGTAAATAGATAGTCTTTCAATTGAGAATCTGATATTAGTAAAAAAAAATTATGGCTGTGTATATCTTTCTTTAATTGGTAGCCTACTCAAATATATATTAAACATGAAGTATTTGCAAAACAATACCATTGGAGAGTGTTTCACAGGGCTTTTCCTGTTTGGAACTCATTAGAATTACTGGACTAGTGTAATAATATTCCTGTTCACTGTAATGATTGTGTAATTAACTTTGGTCATAATGTACTGTAGTTATATGTTCGTTTCTGAAAATCGAGAGCAAATTAATATATTTTAGATATACTTGCTTCAGTTTTAAAATTGTAGGCAGAAGATCTAGGGCATCATTAGATTACACAAGATTTCAGGAGTTTGCATTAAGCTTGGCCTTGCCTTTCAATCTGTAATTTTGGAAGAAATTCCTGTCATCAATATCAGAGTGAATTCTGCAGTTTGAAGAGAAAGAAGAGCAGGCCATATGTGTGAAATTACATAAAATAAGGCCTCAAAGATGTTTTATCTTATGAAGACATGAGCATGCAAGAGAACTAAAACAGAAAGGGAATACTTGGACCTCAAAGGAGCTGGAGAATGGGAACAATCCAGAGTTAAGAAAATATGTTGGAAGATAAAAGCAAAACAAACCACCTGGTGTTTACAGGAAACCCTGTTCTCTGGAAGCTCAGTTTGAACAGCTATCTGAGACTGCATGTGCCAGAAGGCAGTGCTCCTCCAAAGCAGCCCCAGACCTGGAAGTTATCCCAGGGCACATTGGCAGACCTGAACTGCAGCTGGATCTTAGTGAAGACTGGGAAGAGAAATCAGATGGAGTACTGCTCAGGCAGCAAATTTCGATCTGTGCCACAGTATTGTGAGGGCAAGTTCTGATACCATTTTGCACAGTAGGAATGGCTTCAGTTAATTCAGTGTGTCAGAACCCTCCCTGGTATTTCCTCCTGAGAATTTTGGCTTGAGAGAAGTCATTTGGCAGACGTTCACACTTCATGCTGTACACACTTCAGTTGGATGTGGCTGTTCCAAATGAATGTGCTTTTGCCCCTATTTTCTCCTTGACCAGTAATACTGGTTCCAGTGCATATGGCAAATTAATATCCCCTGCTGTGGGCACGCAGCTGTATTAAGTCTACAGATAAAATCTGCAATTACAGATTTCTGTCTGTTATCTTTATAGGTAAGCCTCTACGTAATCATCTGCCTGAAAGAAAATGTATATTAAGTTCAGCAAAAGCCTGTATTTTCTGACATTTCTTTTTTATTATTTTGTAAAAATGTATTAGATATAATTTTCCTAAATTTTTATTTCATTCCTGTCAGTTCCTTTCACTACTCTTCACCTGTCATTTTGAACAAAATGTTAAAAAAAGAGGGACATGCAGTTGCTATAACTGTATTTTTATTTATTAGTATCCCAAATTCTATAGGCTTTGTTATAAAAGACACAGAAATCCATTGAACCTGAAAAGCTTGGAGCCAAATTTTTAGGAGAAGGAAAGGTTCCACCAATACATGAAGACAGAGATTTATAGCAGTGAGACAGGCACTGTCTGGTTAAGTACTCCACGTCCTGATTTTGTGCATTGGGATGGAGTTAGTTTAAGACTACAAAATTCTCATTTTCACCATTATATAAATTTTTCTCTGGATTAATTTATTCTAAGATGTGTGCATTTGATGCAGCTGTTTATAGCTGGAGTCACAGTTTTTAGCACACATTGTAGCTCTGAAGATGTGGATTCCAACTGTTCCCTTACTTCAGCATGGACATGCTGTATTTAGTGTGAAGTTTTCTAGACCACACCAAGGAATCCAACACCAGAAGAGGTGGAGACCAGAGGAAGCTGAAAGTCAAGGCTGAAGAAATAATGGGAGTGAGACTTTGGATATACTGAGTTTTATACTTCAGTTTTCTAGACTGGTTATGTTCTGATCATAATGATTTTTATGCAGATGCCCTTCTGAAAATAAAATACGAAATAAAATACAAAACGAAATGCTACTCGTCTGTCTTAGAGGGCTGTCATGAGAATCAGGCTGCAGATGGACTGGATGATCTCCAGAGGTCCCTTCCAACACCAGCTGTTCTGTCATTCCTTCATTTGTAACGTCAGCATCAGTATCTAAGGCAATCAAACACCTGTGAGAGGCCCTTTTTGTGTTTGGTTGGAGTAGAGAGATCAGCTGTGCAACAGTCTTCTCTAACCCTAATTCAGACAGAAAATAATGAAATTTGAGGTGAGGAGCAAGGGAGGGTCAAAACTGCCTCTGGGCTTCTGGTTGTGAATCCACCTGACAATTTAGGACAGTGCTTGATTGCAGAAAACCACATCCAGTGTCCCAGCCTGATGGGAAACCTGTCCTCAGCTGAAGTAGTGGAAGGAGGACACTTCTGGAAATTGGGGCTTTCAAAGACTTTTGCCAGCCAGAGCAGCAGTGTGGGCTTGCAGTGTTGCTGGACATGGCAAAAGTGGTGCTGCAGAACACAAGAGGATTGGCACTGCAGAGCTGAGGGAGGTGCACAACTCCCATGCTGACTTGGCTCCTGTCTGACTTGATAAGAATTTCTTTTTGCTAAATATTGAGTAGAGAATTCAGAAATCATCATTATATTTGTTTTCTTTGCAGGTGAATTTTATACTTTTCATTAGCATTATAAGAATCTTACTGCAGAAGTTAAGATCTCCAGATGTTGGAGGAAATGACCAGTCACAGTACAAGTGAGTCATTCTTTTAGATACTATAGACAGAAGCAAAATAATCTCTTTAAGATTTCATCTGCTGAGAACCAACAACTGCTGTCTTACTATAATTAGATTTAATTTAGAACTACTTATTGACAAAACATGCTATGCAGAAACAAAGAATATCCTTAAAGCCAAGAGAACCAGGACCTTAGGTGTTTTGTAGACAATGTGACATGTTTGATGCAAAAAGTGAAAAATTCTGATGTGCCACAGGAAATCAACACAACTGGACTGACAAGCACATTTGTTTTGCAGAGCTACAAGGGTCTTGTTTTGTGTTTGCTGATTCAATTATCTAAACATGTGGGAGGGCTTGTTGAATCTAGATGAAACTGTGCAGTTGCCACATTATTATGTAGCACAATGGCCAACCTATGGGCAGGAAATGCCCTCAAGTTTACTTCTTGTGATGTAAAGTTTTCACTGCTTGCATGTGGTAATTATTTAATTTTTGAAAATTAAATATTTCCTCACTTTCAGTCCCACCATTTTGCACAGTTCACTGTAGCACTTTATAATATGAAATATTCACATTAATAGCAACCTTGTCCTTCATTATTCAGCCGTGTAAATTCTTTGCTTTTAGCATTTGATTGCCTGATTAAGTTTGCATTTCTGGTCTTTAGCCAATACCCATGGGAAAGTAGATTAACTTCCTCAAGAAACTGCATCTGCAGAGCAAATCAAAAGATCTGAGAGGCTCATTTATAAAATTGCAAATGCATTTTCTAAAATGCAGAGAAGAATAAGACTGTTTTGTTTGTCCCTTTCTTTTACTAAAATGTAAGTGCAGTATAAAGTAGCATCAACTAAACAAAAATTACTAAACCAAGCATGGAGCGAAAGTGAAATATGAATCTAAAATTAATTCTACTCATGCAAGTCACCATTTTTATTCCCTTCCTCTGAACCTGCTTGTAGCTGGTTCCATCCTTTTAGTTGTTTGTTTTACTCTTGCAGTGAACAAGGCTAAGTTCAAATAAAATCAGTTTTCCATTTCATTTGGGGAACCAGGAAATTTGCTGCCAGTGTCATCTCGTCCAGTTGTAAATTAATTTCTTCTGCTAAGGAATCCCTATTTTTCCTGCTTCTGGTATCACCTTTAGATGTGAAGGATTTGCTGTTCTTGAGGAGCTTTGCTGTCAGAAATTATTTCCACATAAATAGATGCGGCCCCTGGGCCATTATGAACAAAGCAAGGCCATGAAGACTGACACAGAAAAAATAAAACTACTTGAAATACCTTAACTTTTCTGTTAAAATAAGTGAATTCACAAGAGCATCCTTCCATTGTTGAATCAAGTTATATTTATCAATGCAGTGAGGAATTATGGAACTCAGCATTATAACTTCTCAAATTTTATCTGATGTCAGACATCCAAAATTGTCCTTGACTGGCCCTGTATAATATATAAAACTGATCTTATTAGAGTGAAATAAATGACAGATAAGGTAAAACTAGCAATTTTTCATTCCAGTAGTTTCACAAGCTTTTTGTCAGAGTAGCTCTGCTTAGTAATTTAAAGTTCTGTTTCTTTTCTGAAATAGTGTCTTCTGCTAAATTTTGTTATGTAATTGACAACATGGAAAATTATTTAATGGCATATGCTTAATACCATCAGTAAAGCTATGAAGTTTTAGTATTTGAGGCTCCTGAAAATCTATTAGTTGAGATGATTCTGGATTACATTTCCTAGGTACTGTTTGCATACTCTGCATGTGCAATGTACAGACTAACCCTACAGTTACACATTCATCTCAGTAAAACAAGAGCTCATCATTAAATTGCAGCTTTATCTCTTTCCTTTACCCAGGAGACTTGCAAAATCCACCTTGCTGCTGATTCCTTTATTTGGAGTTCACTACACAGTGTTTGCTCTGTTTCCTGACCGCAGTTCCAACAATTATAAAATAATCTTTGAGTTGTGTTTGGGATCTTTTCAGGTAAATTTTAAGGTTTTTATTCAAGAAGTTTTACTGACCTAGGTGAGTGCTGCCTGCTAACTAAGGAATATTTTCTCTTTCCAGGGGTTGATTGTTGCAGTCCTGTATTGTTTTTTGAACAGTGAAGTAAGTCTCATCTTTCCTACTGAGAATGTTAAATATTGGTTTTAGTAAATGTGTAAGTGCCCCCATAATTCTGCTCTGGTACACTAAACTGTTTTAGAAGATGTCTGCATTCCTATTAGTGGAATATATTTGTGACAGTTTTTATACAACAGGAGAAATCAGTGTAGCTGGGGGAAGAGCTTTAAGAGCTGTTTAAAATCTAATTCCTTGCAAACTGAGGTGTCTTCTGCTATTTAATGTGATCTAATCTAGCTCTGTTAGAAGCAGTGTGCAAGTGAGGTGCAACACGTCTGAAAATTCATCTGGAACTTGAAATACCATTTAGTAAGGATTTAGGAGTAATGCTCTGTCAGTATCTAAACCTCAGAACAGCACAAGTGCTTAGCATGTCATAGTTTTCATGGTCTCAACTGAGAAAGATGCAAGGAATTCCTTTTGATTTCAGCCACTATGCAGTGTCTGACAGAAGGAATCTGTCTGAAGACACCTGCACAGACAATTAACATTCAGCTCTCCTGAGTTCTGGTCTTTGGTATTCATGAGATGCCTGATTTTGGGCTAATCATTTGATTCTATGCCTTAAGTACATGACATAAATAGTTCAATACCTAAACCTACTGTTGCAGCACAAGTGATAAAAAATTGATTTTTGAAAGTGACCTTAGGGCACCTCTTCACACACGGTGTAGGCAGTGTTTGCCTCAGTTATGTGACCTTTGTAAAAGGATGCTCTAGAAGGAAGGGCTGCCATCCAGAGGGACCATGACAGGCTTGTGGAGAGGGGGGAAAGAACCTCAAGAGGTTCAAGTTCAAGGCTCTGGACCAGGGTCTGTGCAGGGCTGACTGAGTGATGAAGGGGTTGAGAGCCATCCAACAGAGAAGGACTTGGGGATGAAGAATGGGCCATGAGCTGGCAATGTGCACTTGTAGCCCAAAAAGCCACCTCTATTGAGCATTAAAAGAATGACACGGATGTGTTAGAGCAGGTCCAGAGGAGGCCACAGAAATTCTCAGAAGGCTGGAACACCTCTCCTATGAAATCAGGCTGAGGGAGTAGGGGTTGCTCAGCTTGGAAAGGAGAAAGAATCTGGGGGAACTTCATAGCACCTTGGAGTACATAAAGAGGGGATTATAAGAAAGATGGCAAAAAAACTTCTTAGCAGGGCCTGTAGTGTCAGGACACTTCTAAACTGATATGTGGTAGATTTAGGAGGGAAAAAATCTTTTCTGTAAGGGTGGTAGAGACACTGTAACAGGTTACCCAGAGAAACTGTGATAGCCCCATCCCAAGGCCAGGCTGGGTGGTGCTCTGAGCAACCTGTTCTGGTGGAAGGTGTTCCTGCCCATGGAAGGGGGTGGAACTACATAATCCTTAAAAGTTTGTACCAATCCAAACCATTCTATGATTCTGTTCCTAGAGATCCCCATGTGACAGCCAACAGACGTGGAAAATTTCCTCACATAAAAGAAAATTTTCAGCTCAGATTGTGCATTTCCTTTTGAACACAGGTGCAGGGGGAGCTGAAAAGAAAGTGGCGGAGTTTGTGCTGGAAGCAGACAGCAGGCAGAGACTACAGACTGCACAGCTCATCCATTTCCCGAAATGGATCAGAAAGTGTTTCCCAGCTCCACAGGAATTCAAGAGCTCACTCCTTTATGCAGACAGAGACCACCATGATATAAATGAGCTAGGTCCCCCAAAACATGAAAAACTGTGGGATATATCATTCATTATGCAGCTTGATGTGATATTTTATAACATGTACAGTTTAGTGCTTTGCTTTTCTACATGTTGGTACTTGGGGAATTGATTTGTGCAGCCAAGCTATTATTAATGGAGAAGCCTGCCCTATGGATGCTTTCTGTTTTGTTCAAATGGTATTCATATTAATTCTGGTGTTCTCTTGCAGTTTAACACTAGACATGACAATTCAAAAATTCATTTTCCTTAAAGGTCCCTTTACTTTCCAAAATGGCTACAAGATCTATGCAGGTATCCTGCTCAAAGCAGATTTCTTTGGCACATGTAAGGGGTTAAGATGGGAAGCAAGAAAATTTCTTACACTTTATTTATACTTAAGGAAACATTGCCTTAAGGATTAGGAAATTCTTTTCTAATTATGGAAAATAAAAAATAAAACAAAACTAAGACCATAATTAACCACACTGGGAGTTCAGTGTGCTAATCTAGGAAATCATTAACATGATTTACAAGAGAGGGGAAAAGGTAGTACTTCTAGGCTAATGGTACACATTTCAGAGATTACTTCCTACAGAGTTTTATTCCAATCCTGTTGTTACTTTCAAAAGTGCCTGGTTTGATGTTTGGGTGCAGAGTGTAGGGCTACTTTGCAGGCCATACAAAAAACTACTATATTACTTCTGAATATAGTAGTTCTCAGTTGTTCTCTTCTGTTGCAAGTCAGAGATTTGTGTTGATCTTTTGTGAAGGACTTTTCTGAAGAGATATGTTTTATTGCTAAAGCAGCCTGGCATAGGAAAAACCAGCCTTGGATAGCTCATTACACATTGAAAATACCATTTTTTACAGTACTATCATTGAACTCTGTCTCTAGGAACTACATATTTGACTGCAAAACACAAGGAATATTGCAGTGAAGTTACAACTCAGATTTAACAAAAAATTTAAAATCTTTTAGGTTTATTCAGTTCTGTATCTGTCTGAAATTATTTAAAATTTAGTCCTGACCGTGGCTCCAGGAAAAAAAAAATAGAATCCCTAAAAATTACCATAAAAGGCATAAAGAAGGAATTTTCAACAATGCCAAGCCTCTTATGTAGCCATGTTTAAAAAAAAGGCAGAGAACTGACAGTATTATAAAAATATACATAACATTTCCTCTCTTTAAAAGAAATAAACCCAGTCATGTTCTCTTCCCATGTCAATGTTTATCTATGTCCACCCTACATTACAAGTGGGAATAATATGTATTTGCATGAGTACCTCCACACAAACCATTGCCCTCATATTTCAGATAACAGATTTTATGGAGCCAGCAGAATCCAAGGTCCCTGCTCTTGTCAGATAAAGGGAAGAGCAGCAGCAAGGGCATCCCTTGGCAGGCATATTTGTACATCCTTGAAAGTATTACCAGTACTGGGAATATTGTCAGCAGCTGTCTAAGTGTATTACAATTCTTGGTCTGATTTAATCCAGCTATTTATTGGTCAAACACAATTTGTTTTAATGGGATTGCCATGGAGTCACACAAAGTTTAGTCAGACCAAAGATAGCAAGAACCCATGGTTCACATGACTGCTGCAGAACCTCGTGAATATTACATGACACCAGCAGGTATCATTCGAGTTAAACATTAATCATTCAAAGAATTGTTACTAACAAAAATTGAATTTAAAGGAGCTATTGATCATTTCCAGATCATTCATAACATTTTCTGTTTGGAAAAGTAACTATAAGATACTGGGTGGAAGTAGGCTGCCCAAGAACATTCCCATGGGGTCTAAAGATGTGCCCCTGCACATGTATTTAAACTCAATATATTCCCAAAGACTTTAGACTGAGGAAGCACTGCTAAAATTTAGCATGTTTCCTGGATCTCTTGAGAAACTTATCACAACCTCTTAACTACAAATATATGAAGACCCACTGGAGCTTTGGGAGCTGCTTTTACACCTAAATTAAACACATCTGTGCACATTAGGATTCTTTGTCTGCAGTGGCATTGGGACTGCTCAGTTCCATGAGAGGAGACATGCAGGATGTTCTTTTTTCCCCTTAATTTCTGGGCTAGAAAGGCACATGTGACAAGCATTCAAGTGTGCTCATCTTTGTGCTCAAATGAGGTTATGTGAGCGAGTTGACACACAGAATGATAGCACAGAAATAGATGTTTCAGGCAATCATTTCCATCAGTCTGTTCTGCATGATGCATCACCAATTATATGTGTTTATAACACATTGTATCTTAGAGAAAACTGTCTTTGTTCTAATTAGGTGAGCATGAAAAAAAAAATCTGCATTTTAATTATTTCTGGGTTATAAAAAAGAAAAGCCTTAATAAGAAAATACATTTTATACTGCAACAAACTGGCATTGTTTCCTTTAAAAGGGTGCAGATGCCTTTGGGCTTGATTCTGTTTTTCATCTAGGGTGAAATGCCACATGAGAATTTTACAGTGGGAGAACATAGAGGTTTCACTAAGTTTGTAAAGGACAATGTGGGCATGCAAAGAATGGCACACAGGAGAGAGAGGTGCTGTATATATTTTTCTTTCAAACCAGTGAAAAGTACAGTACTTTGGAGAACCTAATTCCTTTGTGAATTATATGAATGCAGAAAATCTAAATACTGTTTTGTGAGACAGTTTAACTTCATAGTACTTTGTTCAGGCATTATCATGGCAGTAAAGACACAGAGGGCACTGCACTCACTTGTTTTTACTCCCAGAAAATTTCTGATTTCCAAATAATTTTATGCAAAGTTACAGCATCAACCCTATCATCACCAGTTTGGCAGCTGCCTTTTCATAGACAGATATGAAAATATTAGTAAAAAGTGCAGAACAGTTTGACAAATCTAGAATTTGACTAGTGTTTTTCATCTTTACAACACCCATAACAAGACAGCTTCTCATGGCTTTGTCTCTCATTGCATTTTGCTGAGGAGTATGGGATTAAATGCCCTTGCTCTGTGCTGTGGTGACTCCAAAGAGTCAAAAGAACAATGCAATCATTTGGCCTTCTTCATCCCTAATCCTAGTTCTCACTCAGTCCTAGCAGCATCAGGGGAGGAAGTAGAGGCTGCAAGACAAGTCTAACCTTCCCCTGCACCTCCCTTTCTTTATGCCTTTACTGCATACTTTATGCCTTTACTGCAACCTTTGGTTGCATCAGGGTCCAAACTGAGTTTGAATAAAGTCTTCAAGGCAGGAAACCTGGGGTTTTTTGCCCATCCCCACAGAAAAGCCAGAAGCACAGCTTGTACTTACTGAACAAGAGTGGTAATACAATTCACTCCCAGGACCATGGTTAATTGTTGTGCTTTAGCTCCCCTGGAGGCACCATTAATTCTGAGTGATTTCTGTCAGCATTACCTGCTGCTAATGCCTGAGGAACACAGGGACAGCTTGCTCTCCACTTACTAACCACAATTAAAAATATATATGGACACTGTCTTAAATTTTCCTCGGCAGAGTCAGTTTCAGCTGGGTGCTTGATAAACTCAGGTGAAATCCATATGCCCTGGTTTTAGTGTCTAAAAGCTGCATGTTTGTCTCTGACCTAAAGACACTTTTAAGGTGCCCTCCACAGTCATCACAGAGAAATAGGCACTAGTTGAAGGTGACTCCTTCCATGTTCAGCTGGGATCTGAGGCAGGTAAGCTGGACCTAGTTTTCTCTGCACTTACTATAATGTAAGCCTGGGGTAGCTGGCTAGTGCTTGCATTTCTCACTCCAGAGATAGAACCAGGTAAGATGTACCCCTCCAGAAGAGATCATTAAGCTCTCTGGGTATATTACACAGATATTCCTTTTTAAGCCAATTACCCTGGGTTGGCCCAAGTTATCCTCCAAGAAACGTGCAGTGTAATTCAAAAGATCAGGCAGGGGAAGATCCCACAGTTCATTGGGTCAGGTGTCCCTGCCTGCCATGATAAAGCCCACAGGCTTATGTCCCATTTTGATTTGCCTGACCACAGCTTCCAACAAAAATTTTTGCTGTTTTGGGTTAGGTGTTTGGTTTTTGCCTTCTGTAAGAGGGGCCATATGCTAAAGGAAAGTGCTTTACAGTACCCAAAATTTTCTTTATGTTGTACTGCAGGTAGCCAGCTGAAGAATACCCAATCTAAGCTTGTGATGGAGTGTAGTATAGCAGCAATAGATAATTGGTGGCAAATAGCATTACAAAAAACCTTCTACAGTCAAGTTGGAGCCATCCTACCCCACTCTGTAGCATCTGCTCATGTCCTGATTCACCCCAGGCTTCCTTTTGCTTTTAACATGCCAGAGGGGAAACCAACAAGCAGAGACCCTCAGCAAACCAGAGACTCTGTCTGGGGCAGACTGATGAAATAAGGCATTGCCAGGTGCTTGTGTCACACAGTCCATGTGTAAAGACCAAGATGAATCATCTGCATCATTTGTCCTCTATTTTTCTAAAAATCATCTTCTTTTAACTGTGAATTTGTCCAGTTCAGCAAAGTGATTTGGGATAAAGTCCAAATTCAGTTTATACAGATTTTTTGAGACATCCTTAAGGAAAAATCAAGCCCTAAACATGTCTGACAAAAAGAAAGAACTGGCAAGTAACCTGCAGACTCTGTGTCTGCTGCTGTGTGTAAGGGTCATCATCTGAACAATTACTGTCTGTGCACAGTGATACAGGAAATACCTTCACCAACAGAAGTACCTTCATGTTACCATGAGTGCCTATATCAGCTGTGGGCTGTCAGTACTACCCTGACATGACCAAATACAGAAATTAGGATGCAGTGCTATTCTGTTGCTGAAAAAATAATAAAATCTAAAAGTGTTTGAACATCTATGTTACAAGAGTACATCAGGATTACACTTAAAAGGAGCATTCTGTGATATGGTTTATAACCACTCTGTTCTGCCCAATGCTAGCAGCTTGTAGTTAAATCTAATCCAGGAACGTTTCTATTGTCAGATTTAAAAAGTGACTGAAATGTCCCAAACCCCTCTATTTCCCAAAGCACTGTAATAAGTTCATGATTACCTGCAGCTTTTTTTTGTCCTGCCACAAAATATGTATGTATGAGTATCACTTCAAATTTCTCTTTTGTCATCTTTGTTATAACTTTATATCTGTCAAGTATGGTAAAAATTTAAGATTATGTAAATGAATGTGATTATTTTTTACAAAATGTACAGATTATGATGTTGTATAGATTAATGTGTGTAAATAGATTTCATACTGTAATTCACTATAGTTTTCTTCTGGTTTTGCTCTTTTGTTCTTTTCTGGTTTCAGTTTTTAATGTCACAAACCTAACAGCCTTCTCTGAGATGTTATATATAAAGCTGTGAACAAATAAGTGTTTACATCTTTATGCTATTACAGACAATAGTAGTCAATAACACCATAATGGACTGAAGAGGAATCAGAGAATAAAAATTTTAAAAGTTTTGCACAAAAAATGCATTATTCATGTGTTTTTTTTAAATTGTGTACAATGATGCAGTTTTCTTAACTGATTCAGTGTGTCATGGCCATGCTGAAGGATGTGGCTAAGTAAATATTTCACTTTTTAATTCAGCAGCTGTTAGACACACGTGTTGAAGAAAAACCGCCCCTAGCTTCACTGAGGAATATGTAGCTTTCTGTAACTAGATGTGCTTACAGTGGCATGAGAATGGCACACAGCTAGAGCAGAACCAAGTGATCCCATATTTTGTGTAGGGCACCATCTCCATGGCCAGCAGCTATTTTTGATTTATCACAGCTTGCTCAAAATTTGATTGCCCAGTTATCTGTCAGAAGTACAGGTGTCTGTCTGGAGTACAGTATAGTGCAGTGAGAGCAAAGGAAAGCTGTGAAGTCTCTCCTGTAGAGGCAACACCATCATGGGGTTTTTCCCTGAAAGCTATGTACCTGTTTCTATAGCTGTAATGGGAATGGGCACAGGGAAGAGACTGGCAGTGGTGTGTTGCTGATGGGGCCAGAGAGAGAAGGGAGTGCGTGAGGGAGAGGAGGTGGCAGCTCATGGGGCAATCCCTGCCCTGGCAGTGACACCAAGCAGGGACAGAGCTTTTTTCTGGTGTCCCTCATGGACCAGAGAGTCCTTCCCCTCCTGTGTGTGTCT